TACATCATTTCTCTTGCCACAACTAGTATTAATATTATTTTTTCTATTGATTAGAATCGTCACCAATTCGATAATGTTCCAGACAGGTTTTATAATGGGACAATATTTCGTTATCCACTTCGAACTTCTAGAGATGCAGAGGAATCAGAGATTTCAAATAAGGAATACAAAGTCGAAGACATAAAAAAATTATTTGATATTTTTTTCAACGTTGATAATATTAGTTGTCTTTTGTTTTTAAAGCACATTGAAAAGATTTTATTTTTCGAACTTAAAGAAGATGGTAATATTCCGGAACTCTTGTATGAAATTGGAATTGAAAATGTGAAGGAAGTATTTCGTGAAAGGAAATTACTAGCCGAAAACATAATATCAACGATGCTATCTACAACAGGTCAAGATTCTTTTGAGTCTGTTTATAAGATGAAGTTTTTCCAAAAGGCTAAAGCTAAGCGTATCAATAACAAAAGTGAATGGTTAATTGTTAATTATATTTCTGACACAAATGATGAAAAATATATTAAATTCAAGAATCGCATTCGTGATTGTAAATTTATACCGATTGTTGGATTAGCTGTACGAGTTGACAATATATCAAGAAATCAGGGAAAACTCTATTGCTTTTTACCCTTGCCTGATAATTATGAAGACTTTTCTGTTTCGATTAATGGTTGTTTTGCGGTCAGTAAAAATAGAAGACGATTGGAAAGTTCAATGAATGACGATCTGGTAATGTGTAACTATTATTTTATGGCTGCCATTTAGCAATAGTATTTATGATTTCTGTGAATTTTAGGCGTCAGGTGATATGTTACTTCTTAAAGGTGCATGGAATAGATATTTATTTGAAAAAGCTATTCCTGAAGCATGGAAGAAACTTTTAACAGAAGTAATAAAAATAAAAAGTGTTTCCTACGAAAAAATCTATACACTTTGGCCATTGCCAGTGGATAAATCTTCCCGAGAATTGAATGCTAAATCTTGTCTATGGAAAGATCTTTTACAAAATGTTATTAATCACCTCGAGCCTGATCTTGAAGTTTTTCGCGGTCCTTCAGAATATTTATCAATAAATAGTGGATACTTAACTGATGAGAACTTCTGTAAGTCATCAGATTTATCAAGAATATTGGAAAAGCTAGGATTTCCCATTTTTGTAAAAATTCCAGAACAAATTGTCGCCAAATTAAAAAATTCTTTCAAAAATGGTTTAAAGTACATTACACCAGAAAAAGTATGCAATTATCTTAAGGAATCAAACAAGCAAACAAACATTGTTCGTCTTAGTAGGTCGGACAAGTTACTTCTATTTGAATATATTCTTGGAGTTAATGATGTCTCTGATCTTCATGGACTTCCATTGCTTCCAGTCAAAAATGATACTTTTACAACTTTTGAGCCAAGAAGTAATTCGAAACATTTTTTCATTGCGGGCAAAAATGAGCACAAACTTATCGATGAAAAACTTTTTGAATCAATTATTGATAACGAAATTGGCGATGTGATTTTATCAAAATTAAAATCTTACGTAAAAAATAGAAAAGATATTAATATACAAATTCTTTCAGAACATCATTTTGTGGAAATGCTTAAGAAGTCATTGAAGGGATATGCTGAAAATTCTCAAGAAATTCCGATCGGAAAGAATGATATTGAATGGATATATGAAATTTGGGATTATTTACAAAAAACCAACAGAAATTTGTCACACTTTGAGGGTCTTCATCTTTTACCAATAATTAAAAATAAGGCTATTCATTTGAGAAAATTAAAAGCAATACCAAAATGTTTATGCCATTCACCACGTTATCAAATGATCGGGGATCTGCAACCTGGATTTTTGATTGAATTATTCGAATCGCTGGGTTCTATTTTTATAGATCGTGATTTTGAAAAACGAAAGGTTTCAAACTATGAAAAGTGAGTTTGTTTTATAAATATTTTATTTTAGATTATAATTATTAGAAATTACTAAACATATTCTTGTCTCATTATAGACTTAAAAATTATTTAATTGAACTCGATGATGTTGAAGCTGTCATATTATCTTTCGGAGAAAATCAATCATTTCCATCTAACATCACTAAACATTCTCTCAGTAATTATGATAGAGAATGTTTAATTAAGTACTTTGGAAGTTATTTGCAACGTCAACATTTTTTTGATACCAGGCTAATAGAAATATTAAAGTGTTTTCCGATTTTTACTAAAGTAAATAGTAACAAAGCGATAGACATCAATTCATTATCCGGGACAGCATATTATTTGCTTCCTGAACAAGATGAACAATCATGCGGACCTATTATTTCACCTCATTGCTCATTTTTGAAAGCCCATACTTCTAGTAATGTTGGTTTTATTCTTGAAAAAGTACTCAAAGTTAAACGATTAGACCAAAGAACATATTGGAAAGATCATGTCATACAGCACTTAAATGACTTAAATGATCCATCATTTCATATTAAAGATCAATTAATTGAGAAACTTTTTGAAAGATGGAGGATCATAGCACCTTTTCGAAGTGTTCTTTCAGAAATACCATTTGTTACAACACAATCATTTAATACATCATTCTTTAGTACATCATTATTTAGTACAGCATCATCAGTTAGAAAAAAGCCAAATGAGATCTTTGACCCAGACAATTCCCAAATAAAAAAGTTATTCTTTTCGAATGAACCATTTTTTCCAATTGGAAAGTATTCGGATCACGAATATCTTCATAAATTACGTCAACTAGGAATGAAAAATTCGATGACTATAAAAGATGTGATCAATCGGTTAGAAATTTATGCAGGACATAAAACCAGTGATAGATATTCTAAATCTATTCAACTGCTAAGATATATTGACGACAATTATGATGATTTTGAAAATGATGAATTATTCAATTTGTTCTGTGAGAAAATTAAAAACGAAGCGTGGATCCCAACCTTAAAACAGAAAAGACAAAAAACATTCTCAAAAGCTTCAGAATGTAAAGATCAATTACATCAAAATTTGGTTTCATATGTAATGCCAATAATCCAATATCAGATCAAAAATAATGATTTACGTCGAATTTTTGGATGGAATAACGATCCACCGATAATGAAGATAATAGAACAATTATTATACTTGACAGATTTAATAAGTCAAGAAGACTCTAATACTGAAATAGGAGATCAAATATATAAGATTTATGATCATTTAAACAAAGTTGTCAGCAGATCAAATAATGATATAGACCTTTTGAAAAGTGAATTATCGGGAAAAAAATGGATTTTTAATGATGACAAACTTTATTCAAGCGAAGAAATCGTATTTTCTTCTATAATCAAAAACGATATGGTTACGCTTTCTAATCGAAACAAAAACAATTATTCAAAACTTTTTGTTGTGCTTGGAGTTGCACATGAACAGAATTATTTTGAAGCACTTAAAACTCTTGAATTTTCGAGTAAAACGCAAAAGTTCATAATTGATATGATTGAACATCTATCTCATACTGAAACAGAAGATAGATTAAAAGAATTGTTGATTCCAAACATGAATGAAAAAATGGTCCCTTGTAAAGGATTATTTTATGACGATATGGATACAAGGGTTAAGGATTCAGATAAGAATTTTAATGTCATGGCACATCCTGCAATTTCAAGAGACGTAGCAAAGAAACTAAAACTTAAAAATTTTAGTGAAGAATTCTTAAAAGGTAGAATCGATTTTGTTAAACAAAATAATAACGTAACAGCAGCCTTTTTGAAAACTATTCTAGAAGTATGTGTTATAAGTTTGTATTGCCCATTATCTTCAAATTCTTTTTTATTAACATTTTAATATATTGAACAGGAATTTGATCTTGAAGAAATTGTTTTTCAAGAATTTCTCAAGAATGCAGATGATGCAAGAGCAACACAGTTTTGTATCATTCTTGATGAATGTAAATATTCAGATAAACTTTTATTAAAAGAAGATATGAAATGCTGGCAAGGACCAGCAATATGGATATATAACAATAGTAAATTTTCTATTAATGAAGACCTCGATTCACTCAATAACATTGGCAGTAGTGACAAGGGATCTAACAAAATCGGAAAATCTGGCAGGGGATTTGCATCATGTTATCATTTTACAGACATGCCACAGATATTATCGGGTACGAAGATAATATTCTTTGATCCGCAAAGAAAAATGTTTTCCATCGAACAATGTTATGGCTCTATAATTGATTTTGAGAACTACAAGAATGATGGAAACCACACAATGAAAGTGTTTAAAGACCAGTTTGAACCCTATTTAAAACTTGAAGGATGTGGATTCAAAGTTGATTTCAACGAAAAATTTGATGGAACTTTATTTAGGTTGCCACTCAGGACAATCAAAAGTCTAATATCTGATAAAGTTTATACTGCAGATAATGTATGGCAAACCAGCGTTGATATTATTGATCGTGTTGAGAATTTATTAGATGTTATAAAGAAGGATGCAATTTCTGAACTAATTTTTTTACGCAATGTGAAATCCATCAAAACATTTAGAAAAAGAAGTTCAGATAACGTAATAAAGCCCTTATGGGAAGTTGAAATTAAAGAATTCACTGGTGATCGTAAATCACTTGGGAAAAAATCACAAATACTTAAGTTTGATGTTCAATATAGTGAAGAAAATATTCCGAAAACAACAAAATGGCTTATGTGTGCAGGAAAAAAGGATAATAAAGATGCATGGAGTGCGATTGCAACAATTATTCCTGAAAAGCAAAATGAAGAAATTTTTAATGGGAAATTTTATTCATATCTTTCCCTTCTAAATTCTTCAGAACTTCCTGTAATTTTACATTCAAACGACTGGGAACTTACGCCAAATAAAAGAAACCTTAAACCAAATAGCGAAAAGAATATCAATATTTTAAACAACATTTCCGAACTTCATGTAAGACTTTTTGAAAGGCTTACGAAAATAGAACATCCAAGAAATAATAATTATCAAATGATTTCTCAACTCTGGCCGATTCCAGAAATCGAAAGTGATATGAAAATTAAAGAATATGGTAAAAAAGTATTAGAACGTTTATGTGAAAAAAATTCTGAAATATTTTGGACTCCATATGGAGATGGTAAATATGTTAGCTTAATAAATAGTATCTTTATAAATGATGACACGCCAAAAAATATTGTAGAGTTTCTGAATAAGCATAATTACTCTACAGTCAAAATTAAACCAGAGCACCTAAATGAATTCAAAGAAAAAAATGGATATCAGCAAGTTAGTCCTCAATTTATTCGAGATATCTTGAAAAATGATGAATCCATATTAGATACTTCAGATTTAACATTATCCGAGCGGTTTTCTTTGCTGAGGTACATTCTTGAAGATAAAAATTATGGTGATCTTGAAAATATTTCATTGGTTCCACTATTTGACAACAAATTTGGAAATTTTGCGACTGAGAAGAATTATAGCATTGCTACATTGGAACAGCTAAAATTATTTCCTAAAGTTGGATTGGAATATTTTATTCCTGTTGATCTGTTAAAAGCACACGATTTGCATACAATATTTACCAAAAATGAATTTCTCAAAGCTACAAACATTCAATATTTCGGTGAACCAACAATCAGACGTTTTCTACAACAAGAGTTACACCCTATATCAGAAAGAGATTGGAATCCATCAGATTCAACAACAATTCCGAATCAAAAATGGCTTGATGAAATATGGTCGAATATATTAAATTATTCACTATCGCCATATATGTCTTTTCCTTTATTAGAAGTATATGACCCAAATAAACAAGACCAGCACCAATTAATCAGTTTAGAAAATGCAGCAAAAAAACCTTTATTAGTCTATGCTCATGATCAATTATTAGTTAAAACATTGACAAATATTGGAATACGATTCACCAAACGTAGATATGAAAAGACACTTAGTAAATATGTTAAAAAATTAGAACCAGATAATGTATTAGATGTTATTGGCAAATATCGATGCATTGTAAATGAGGTGTTTACCGAGCAGGAAGATAGGGAAACTCTATGCAATTATTTTAGTTTTGCTATGAACTTGCAAAATTATGAAAAATACAAGAATAAATGGATATTCGTGCGATTACCTATATGGCCAACACATATTTTAGATTCCGGAGACCAAATATGTAAATCAATTTCGGATGATTTTACGTATCTAGTACCTTCAGGTACAATTTCATCGCGTCCATTTACATTTTTTCCACAAAATCATTGTGGTATTTTTTATTATGACGTATCGGATTATCAACGAAAACTATTAGTAGCTGCAGGTGCCAAAATAAGAAATAGATTAAACTATTTCAAAGAAACCATTGTCTATAATATGAAGGCAATACTTCCGCAGGAACGAAGCTCTTATTCGGAACTTTTAATTGAAATGTTATCTGATACTGAAAATCTCAACAATATTAAATATTATATAAAAAATTTAAAAGTTTTTCCAAATGAGAACTATGAACTTTATGTTGCAAGAGATTTAAATGATCGAGATCATCCACTACTTAAACTTGTTTATAGTTATTCCAATCGATTTCTTCCAAAATGCATTCAAGACAATCAACAATGCTTAAAAATGCTTGAACAAATAGGATTTGTAAGAAAAGTTACTCCAGAAATTTTTATCAAATGTGCTAAACATATTCAAGAATTGCATAAGAATCGAAAGGATGATATGATTGAAATAGACAATCTTAGGCATTTAGCAAGCGATGTTCTTTGCCATTTTTATAGAAACCAATCTACATTAAAATTTTCTGAAGATGAATGGGAAGAGCTATCGAAAATCAAATTTGTTCCGATCTCAAAGAGCTTTTTAAAATATCCATACTCTTATAGTAGTAAAAAGAATGTGGAAGAGTTGGAATGTCTTGAAAATTTATGTCTTTCGAAATACAAGAATTTTGCATGGACTCAAATAGCATTTTTTGAGAATGAACCAACCGAGGAAGTTATAAAAAATTATAAGAATTTCGGTCTACCAACCATTCAAAATATTGTTAATCATTTAAAAACAATTCAATCCACCGTGTCTAAATCTAAAGAGTGGGAACAAAGAGGTGATGAATTATTTGAAATCATAAAACAAATTTATGAAAAATTAGAATCATTATGTGATGAAAGAAATGATGATCTGAAGTTATACTTTCCAAATGATCTCCCGCTCTTTTTAAATGGTACAAACCCACTTGATTCAGAAAGTTGGATTATCGCTTCACATCTTGATTTAAATATTAAAAAAGACTTCAAGCCAGACAGAAGAGCTACCGCTGAGTACCTTAAAAATTATAGCAGCCTTTTAATTTTAGCTGGCGCGAAAGATTCGAAATTACCGAAGAACAAGCGATGTAAATATTATGAAGAAAACAATACGCAACATATAATTAAATCAATGATTGATTCTTTATGTATTGGAGATAATACAACCCAATCTAATGACGTTTCATTTTATATTAAAGAGCAAAGATTTTATGCAAATTCATTAATATTGGGTTATGTCGCACCATATTTTAAAAAAACTGGACATAGTTTTACTTTTAACGATATTGAACCAGATTCACTTCACATTTTACTACGATGGCTATATGGTGAATCATTATCTCAAGCCATAAATCATATTGGATACAAAGAAGATGAAGATGACCTTATTCAAATTTGTAAAGATTTGTTAAAATTGGCGAATGAATTTAAACTTGAATCACTTAAACAGTTGATAGAACATAAATTGTTCGCATTCCTTGACATCAATTTGAATGAAAACACTCTTAACGACTTAAAGACTATGGCTCACAGTAATGGATTAACTGATCTTTTAGATTATTGTAATAAATTAGAAAAGGAATATTGCTAAACTTATAATACCTTCTTTTTAGTATAATATGGAATTTTATATTAGTTATTGATTTTTAATTTTATTAATGAAAAGTGCTTGATAAATATGTATTCACATGGGCATTAATTTGTAAGTTCATGTAAGATAAAATCAAAACAATAAAGAGCAAATTAAACCATTTTAATGATAAGGTACGGTTTATTATTATTTATTTTAATAGCATTGAGTGATATGCAATTTTAAGCTAGTATATCTCGCTACAAAGGATTAATCGCGAGATGGAAAATTCCATTCGTTATAATGAATATTCGCTATAGCATTATATAACATAATACAAATTTGAAAGAATAATTCCGCTATAGCGAGGGATCCGCTTTAAAGGGTTAATAAATTAATGTCTTTACGCTATTTTAATAATGCAAAGCCTTGTTAATTCTAATTAATATTTGAGAGCAAAGTAAATTGTAAGGATTGCTCACTTGAAAATACCAGATTTAATAACCATGTTGATAGGCTCTATAGTTGTATAGCAATCAAAATTTTTAATAGTTACATGGTTAATATGACTAAGTGTGTGAAATATAACTTATTAGAAGTTTTACTTCTATCAGCAATAACTTCATAATCACAGTCCTTAATGACTTTAATATTGCTTTTGTCTAATACTAAAGAGTTATGTTTTATTATTGTATGCATTTATTTTCTAGACTTGCACTAGTATTAATAATATCAGGTGTTGAATTTAATGTGAAAGTGACCAAGTTTTTATAAGATTCGTATCTCATCTCATTTATTTATAAATTAATAGTAGTATGTTTCTTTGCAAGAGTTTGTATTTTATAGCTACAGTTTTCTATTACCTTTATAATATTCATTCTTGTAACTTTACTAGAATTATAATCTACTATTGCTTTATTTTTTTAAACTAACATTTATTTTTGCAATTAATTAACAAAGAAACTATAGTGATTTAAACTGAGAAAAATTTCCTTAATCGGTTAACCAAACAGAATTATTTCATTCAACTGATTGCCAATTAGTTAACTATCTACTACTATCAAAATTCTCAGAGCTTTATTCAAGTTTTTGTCTTGTCTTTATGTTCATTTATTTTCTTTTCAGAACTTTTTAGACCCATTATTCTCTCCTTACATCATTTTATATTATTCGATTCCACCAGCTGATTACCTAATTCTCAACTACGGTAAACTACTATTAAGTTACCATGGGAAATCAGCTGATTTTTTAGGGGGTGGGGGGTATGTGATTCGATCAGGTCTTATATTTTGTAGTTAAATTTAATTGGCTAATATTTGAATCAGGTGGAGTGGGAGGTATAGCCTCTTAGTAACTTGAAATCACCTGATTTCTGTTCCTCTCCTAATAAGTTACTATGATAAGTTACCAGTAAGTTATCATTTTGAAACTTATTGTAAAAAAATAAATTGTTGTAATTTACAATCCTGTTGAAACTAGTTAGATTCAAGTTATATAAAGCTTTGATTTATAGCTTAAAGCTAAGATTTGACTTAATCCAAATCAGTTTCTAATTATTAGTAGTGTCAATTTTTATTTACATATATATATATAGATTTTATTATTTATATTAATGGATAGGATTTAGGCCTTTATACTACCAGTAGTACGTTTATTAAAAACTATAAAAAATTTAAAAAAAAATTTTTAAAAAGATTTTTTACATACAAAAATTAGATAAATATTCTAGTTTAACTGGAATTTATTTATTTTAAAATTTGTAATAAAATTATTGTAAAAAAAAATTATAAAAGATTCTTATTTTAAGAAATTTTTGATATACTCCAAGTAGTATACTATTCAAAAAAAGTTTAAAAATAAAATTATTAATAAATTTTACTAATTAAAAGTTTAATTATATAAAAAAATTTGTTTCTTTTTTATACTTAAAAATTATTATTACTTATATTGTAATAATTATTGCTTGTATTATAAGCTTAATTTAAAACTTATTACAAATTATTACTTTTTTTTGAATATTAATGGTGAGACTATGTCTCTGTCTTTATTGAAATTTAATTAAAATCTTTTATACAGAAAAGAATTACAACTTAAACTTCATATTATATGATAGCAAAAAAAGAGACTCAGACTAGTTTATTTGTGGCCTAAACCAACTAGGGTGGTCATAGCTCATCTAGATTTGTAGATTAGAAATTATATATATTGGATTTATTTGGTACTTAATCCATAAAGGTACCAAAGTTCTAATTTAGAGGAGGCTAGATCTAAAGATGAATTTTGGAAAGATTAAAAAGATAAAGAATTATAAGAAGAAGATGAAGGAGGTGCGGTATTATCACTAGATTGAATTTGTGCATAAGAGATACAGTAGGGTATCCAAATATTATGATAAATTTGTGAATTAAGGTATAAGAAAAATTTAATAGTAGTTGTAGAAGCAATTTTTGCAGAAGATGTAAAATTTTTGAGTAGGTTTATAATATCGCTGAGTACAAGACCAGATAAGGTAGAGTTAAGAGATGGAGCATGGTGATTATGAAATATCATGCTGTCCAAATTTTTAACTTGATTATGGAGTATAGCAATCTCTTCAGATGAAATATCAAGTGATGTTGAATTGAAAACATGTTGTAGAGAACTATCTATTAAATTATAA